ATGTGTCCCTCCCGATGACCTCCTCTTCGCCCGGTTGGCCGGCATGGATCTCGCCACTGCTGCCCTCAACTTCTCTGCCTCGAGCTCGACGGTCAGCCACCATGGATCCCCCAGCTGGAGGGTCACATGAACCAGCCGTCCTCCCATGCTGCAGCGGCGAGAAGGTGACATGGCTCTCTGTACACGAAGAGTGGAGTTCAGTCAAGTACTTATATACTTGGCCTCTACTGCTGATCCATGTACATGGAGAAGAATAGACAACCGCTCATTCATACTTCGTTCCACTCCTTTGCGCTACATTACTGGAGGTGACATTTTCCTATCTCTATGTTGTAACAAGCCTGCTGCCTGCATAGTTAATGGATTTTTTATTTAAATTTATCGCTGCTTAGTGCTTTGTTGCAATTGTTCACCCAAGATTCATATATATAATCTGAGCGTATGTAGGCATACTTAGCTTTGCTATTCCATTTTTTCTGGCGCATAGAAATAAGAGTATTGTCCAGGTTAGGTATTCAATTGAGTATGGTATTTGGATTGTTATCAGAATGTCTTTTCTATGTATGTGATTTCTCACATCTGGTTATAATATTTGTGAAGACATGCATTGCACGTGCACTTGGAAGCGGGCCCGTGGCCCGCGCTGGACGGCGCCGACACCGACCCGAGCCACCTTGTCCGCGTATTCTTGGAGCTGTGACTGGTTGATTTACATGAAATTAATTCCCTCAGTTCTGGTGGCAAATATAATACACATAATCCATATTGTTATGCACTAGCGTGTATGTGTGAAATAGATGGATTATGGTCCCGTACCCAATAAGATGGATATGTGTGTGTGTTAGAGAGAGAGGGAGAGGGGGATAGAGAGTGAGGAAGAGGGAGGGAGAGTGTGTGTCTGTGTGTGTGTGAGGATTTGATGGTAAAAAAGGTCGCCAATGTCGTAATATTGAACTCTTAAAGTTAATGTGGCCCCGTTGCAACGCACGGGCGTTCTTCTAGTAATGGATAAGTACCAAGAAAGACTAAACACGATCGTTCCTAACATACTTCCTGGAAGTTACTTCTTCCATCTCATAATATAAAAGCATTTTATACACTACACAGGGGAGTATATTAGAGCTAAAAAAATAATAAAAAATGGTTTTCCAAAACATTTTCACCAGATCAATTTTCAGTATAACTAGCAATGTGCCCGTGCGTCGCAACAGAGCCGAAGTAGAATAATACTTGTTCACAAACTTGAAAACACACACTCTAGTTTTGATATAAATATATTACTAAAAATATTATGTTTCATTCAAAATATATTCCTCGAACTGTTTTGATGAGGTGAGGGAGGGATGTGCTTGATTTCAAGATACTAAGGGATTTTCTGCAAATTGAAATAAAGAAGTGGGCTATTGTTATAAAAATGCCACAATTTACGTCACAGTCATTAGATGCAGATCTATTAATCAAAAATGTCGGATGACAGACACACCATCATCATCAACTGAGTCTTTTATAAGAGTATATATAGAGAGAGAGAAAAAAGGCGAAGTACCGAAAATTCGCATGTGAGCTCGAGCGCCTGTGAGCCTGGAATCTGTGCCATTTGTTTCTCTCACGATCATTATTGCACTGAGTATAGCGTCAGGTTTATGCTCACGGGCCTATTTGCCCAAACAGTTAGATGGCCCACTGCTCAGAAAGCACCGTCAGTTAATGCGGTGACGGACCAGACAGTTTTCCACCCGCTCAGCTGGTTTGAATGCCGGCCACAACAGTTTTCCACCCCATTTATTCCTGCGCCTCATTAACTTTGCAGGGACTGGTTTGGTTGGCTTACACATCCCCCATGGGCACACTTCTGCTTCCAGGAGCCCAATTTTAGCATCAAATATTTTAGTTTCCAAAAAATCATATTTCATGCAACAACAAATTTAATTCCGCACCACAAACCATCTTACACTCGAACAACCATAGACATGATCAACATGACCAGTACATATTCAGAAAATTCAGAGAAGACGGTTAAATAGGACGAAACTGGTTTAACATATGACAGCTACACATACATGGTCAACTGGTTTAAGTCTACCACAAAAATATCAAAAACATTTCAGTAGGATGAAATGAAAAAAATTCTTAGCATTAAACCAGCCTTAGTTGTGCGACCTTCTGGCAATTGTTCCTCCTGTGTCCTTCAACTCCACAATTCTTGCATCTTGCCGGCTTACGTGGCTGCTTTGGTACATGCCCTCGTTCGGGGCAGGTTGTCCGCTTGTGTCCTTGCTCCCTGCATATACCGCAGAACCTTGTTCTCTTACTTAAACTTTCGTATGGCGCCTTCTCCCTACTCGTTGTCGGCCTGCCAACTTGCTTCCGCTTGGTAGGTGCCAGCAGGTTCTCCATCATATTTGCAGACTCATTAGCTGTGTTGCTGTCATCATTCCCGTCGTTGACTTGTGTAGCTTCGAATGCGTCGCATACGTCGCGTCCTGATTGTATCACGTGCTGAACCCTAGCATTACCGACTAACCTGTCCTCCAAACCTAGGCCATCTCGGACCTCCGTGTACGCCTTCATCTCGGCTGCACAGTGATTGAATAGTGATGTGAAGCGCTCGTAAGCTGCCACACTTGAGTCTCCCATGCGCACAAGCTCCATGGCTTGCATATACATATTGAAATGCCTGAAACTAAATGGGTTCTCGTGAGCATTGTCTCTCTGGTACTGCATCAGGTGGGCCGGAAGTACATCTCTCACACCTCGTGTCCATCTTTTCACAATGTGCTTCTTTGGGATTTCTGTCACACGAATGAAGTCGAGTACCTGCAATTGAGAACAAATTTTTAGTCGGACCTACGCCACTTAAATGAGTAGTTCAGTACTACAAAAACAGAGGAATCCTATCTGTACTCATGCTGTTTGAATCACCTTCAGTATATGGCTGCACAGCAGCCCCATGTGGGCAAACTGTCCGCACTCGCAATCAAATTCCTCTCCACCTTCAACAACCGTCACCTTGTATGAGGTTCTGCACCACTTCTCCCGCCGTGCTACATCTGTATGTATTGCGACATACTCTTTACCTTTTTCAATCTCTTCTACCTTATATGCACCACACTCGTACAGTATATGGCCAAACTGCTCAAGCATAGCTTTGGTGTAAATCTTCCCAGCATGTCTCGCAGTTGCCAAATTTGCTCGCATAAGTGGCCTCCCCTGCAAAACAAACCACCTATAAGTAATCTCTCATTTCATCAGCTCAATATCACCGACACTATTGTGTCCATTAAGTATTTCCTTTTGCACTTACAATTGTTGTCCGCTTCTCCTCATAATTTTCTTCTGACTCACGGTCAAAAATTAAACTCATATACTTCCTCACAAATACATGCATTGGGCAACCAGGCGGCACGTAGTTCTTTAGCATGTGATTTGCACTTTCACTCTGTTGTGTACTAGTCATCTTTGCACAGAACACACCCTTGAAGTATGGCTTTGCCCATTTGTGCCGTATTTCAAACAAATTAGTCATGTAGTCATGACTTTTCAAGTTGTATTTTTCTATTAAGTACTTCCAGCCATCTTCAAACTCATCTATAGTTAGCATGTGGTTGACAACCTTGTGAAACTCTGGTCGAAAATCACTATTCTTTGAGTACAATAGGCCAAGCGACTCTTTTGCCTTCTTTAGCACATGCCACTTGCACCACCGGTGAGCCATGTTTGGCATGACATTCCTTATGGCAACCTCCATTGCACTGTTTTGATCTGCAATTCGTTCATACCATACTCATTAGTCATATTTGGTCTAACTGTTCGACAGATTAGTTCTCAAGTAAACTTATACAATTGTATCCTATCTTACCGGTAAGTATTGTTTGTGGCGCCCTTCCCCCCAATATCCTAACAAACTCCGAGAAGACCCACTCAAATGTTTCCTCTGTCTCATGCCGAACTAGCACACCAGCTAGTATGATACTCTGGAAATGGTTGTTCACTCCAACAAATAACCCAAATGGCATGTCATACAGGTTGGTCCTATAGGTTGTGTCAAATGTGGTGACATCCCCAAAGAAGTTGTACTGCAGCCTACTGTTACCTGTAGCCCACATCAAGTTGCTGATCCTGCCCTCTTTGTCCGCCTGAACTCGATACGTGAACTGCGGATCCTTTGAGCACAGATCATGAAACACTTCCATTGTTTTCCTAACATCATCTTCTGACTGCTCCCGGCTTATCTTGCCACACAAATTTCACAGAGCTCTCTTAGTGAATGGCACATTCTCCATCTTTCCGTAAAAGCTTCCAATAATGTTGTAGACTTTTGACAAATTGACATTGTTCTGCCTCAACTGCTTAACTAGATCCTGGCTGTAAACGTCAATATGCTTGTGCGACAGCCAGTGTATGGTCTTGCCATATGTTTATGACAATGCATGGTTGTGCCCATCTCGATGCTCTTATATGTACCATCCATTGTCCTTTGTCCTCAGGAGTCTGATGACGGCTGAGCATTCACACCGGCACGAACGAGTATTCTCAACGATTGGCTTGCCCTGACCAGACAAACAAACAAGTCAGCTTCTGTCACGTGCACTTCAGCTAATATGTAATTTATTTACTGGCAATATAAATCGATTCATTAATAGAGCCCAATTTTAGTATTCAGCCATAAGCAGAAAATATCTAATATTTTCAGTCTGCACAAATTCATATTCAAGAAACACCAAATTAAAATGTGCAGCACAGACCATCTTACACTCTAACAAACCAGATACATGCTGAACATGACCAGTACATATTCAGATAATTCAGAGAAGACAGCTCAATAGGATGTAACTGGTTTATCAGATAACAGCTACGCATACATGGTCAACTAGTTTAATTCTACTACATAGAAATCAGAAACACTTCAGTACTATGAAATGCAAAGTATATCTTTTTAAGTTATACACCATGTAGGTCTTCTAGCATTAATTGTTGGTAATATAAATCTGTTCTAACATTCATCTTACTGCGCATCCACACACGATCTCTTGCATACACTTTGTCCTATTCACATTCAGCCTGCTCTTTCTGTAACGAATACCAAATCCTTTCTCCCAGGAGTACAGATTGTAAAAGTCATATGCTTCCCCGAGGGTGTCGAAACTTGTTCCAATCTTTGGGACCATAACTATGTCTCTTGGATGCTCCGCAAACTCCCTCACGGTCTTCTCCAGCGCCGTGACCCTGTTCGCACAAGGAGGCCTTCCTGAAGCAACAACACCTACACGCACCCTGCACATTCACATCACACACACAATAAGGCATGGGTTCAGTTATAGTCAATTGATTCACTTAGAGAATGTCAACACCAATAAACCAAGTGGTGGACAGTTACAGCCAATTGATATGAATTTACATCCTCCATCATTCTCAGAGTGTCCACCGACACAAATTCAATCATATCTTCGTCAATCTGATGCAATCATATAAAATAGTCATTCTGTCATGTATTTTTTCCTTGACCAAAATGAAATTTCTTATCTATAATTTTCCAGCGTCTTTTCATCTGTAACTACTTGCAGAACTCATTCATACAGTTGCAGAATGGTACTACAAATTCCTCATGCAATCTATAGGCTGCTGGTTCAGTACCTTTGCGTCCATCCTGGTGTCTTGGGGTCCAACTGCTCTATTGAGTGCTCGGACCCCTGAACCTTGTCCCCGTCTGATGCTTCCGGCCGATAGATCTGGCCGTCCGCACTTGACCCGGCAGGGGCTGGATCAGGAATCTCCGCCGGCGCGGCCACTGGGAACCGCACGGGCTCCATTGTCCCGTTATTTTCATTGACCTCCTCAAGCAGAGTTCTAATCATTCCACGCAAAAATTTCACAGGCAGAATGTAGATCAGTCCCCCAAAAAAATCAGCGCAGAACCATGGTAAAGAGTAGCTCACGAGGCAGATCTGTACCTGTTTATTGGCTGCAGCAAGAATTCCATGGTCGGCGGAACCCCTGCCAGATCGCCGGACCGCCCACTCGCCGTCGACGGAGTCAATGTCTCCACCTTTCCCCCCACCGTGGTAAGACACAAATCCAACTTCAATTCCTTATCCACCGAGTCACCCAACCACTGCATTAACTGCGTGCACTGCCGGCGCTAGCTGGAACCACCGTACCTGGTCCACGGATCAGGACGCCGGCGACAACGTCGAGCCACGGCTCATCCAGGAACCGTCGACGGCGTTCAACCCTGCCCCATTTGTCGGATGAGTATAGTTCAATATATCTTCACTTCCCGTGCTCCCGCTGGACCCGCCGACCGGCCCAGTCATTAAATGAACCGAATCTCATAGCAATTCTGGACGTCCCTGATACCAAGCTCCTGTATGCTCGCCATCACATACTCCACGTCCGTGAAGTACTTACAGAAGAGCCCATCATATAAGCGAGAGTATTACACCCGATGACGAACTTGTTGTCCACTTCCGATATCCAGAAAGGTGTGAAGGTGAAGTCCGCCCATCCGTTGTAGTGGGTCATACCGCCAGTGGATTGGTCATAGCACTGCCACGAGATCGTCCAGGTGTTCATCCAGGCCTTGCCGTCTGGCATGGAGATCTTGGTCACCTCAAAATTCCCGCTAAAAGGCTTTGCGGTGCCATTGATGCTCGTGCAGTTGAGTGCAAAGCCTCTGTGAAAAGCGCACTGCTTGCCGATGCCGAACGGGAATGGGATGTCGACGTCCCCGCACTTGGCCGGGCAGCCGGGACGCTGGCCGGCCGGTACATCGGCCATGGCCAGCACCCAAATCGCAGAAAGGCAGAGAAGAACATGGCAAGAAAGAAGAAACCGAGAACACCCCAGCTTCATCTTTGCCGAACGGGTGGGTGTGGATGCGTACTCCTGAGATCCTAGCTACGCCGGGGTGTTCAAATATGTCACCCAAGTCCTCTCACAGTACTTGTATAGGTCAAGGAGAAAGTTTTTTTCCCCTAAACCCTAAACCCCTCTGGCGGCGGCCGAGGCGATCTAGGGTTTGGACGTGGAACAAGCTTCTCGCCTGCAGATTATCGGCGGGGCGAGAGAGATCGAGCGAGCGGTGGCTAGCGATGGCCACGCCGAGCGCAAGTACGGGAGCGGGGGCGGCGAACGAAGATCAATCCGCCCGTGCCGCCAGACGGAAACTGGAGGAAGCGCTGGGCAAACTGGATATCTCTCAGGAAGAAGCGACTCCTCTAGTGATCGATGATCGAGTCGATAGCGGTCCGGCGAAGTGGTTGGTGGCTGGTAAAGTACTTCATCGTAATCATCTTTACATCAAGACAATCACCAATGCTCTTCGGCCAGCGTGGGGTAACCCATGCGGCTTGCAGTTTCGCTCCATAGGAATCAATATGTTTGTTACGGAGTTTGAGAATCAGCGAGATAGGGGTCGTGTCTGGAACGGATCGCCATGGCACATCAACAAGAATGTTGTGGTGCTAGCAGAATTTGATGAGTGTATGAGGCCAAATGAGGTGAAGTTTGATCGTCTGCATATTTGGGCTAGGGTTATGAACTTGCCCTATAATTTGAGGGACGAAGCTTGGTGGATTCCTATAGCAAAGCAGATGGATCAACACGCTCAATATGTCAGTTTTGACCACGATGGAGGGTTTCTGCGAGCAAGGATCACCATTGATGTTGAGAAGCCGCTCAGAAGGTGGATTCTTATTGATTCTGCAAGGAGAAGAAAGGTTGATATGTATGATATCCAGTATGAGCAGCTGCCATATTTCTGTTTCTCTTGTGGCAGATTGGGTCACTCGGATTTATATTGTCAAACACCGGGATCCCGCGATGAGCAAGGGGAACTCTCGTTTGGTCCTAAGATTCGCGCTCCGGACGAGTTCAGGAGATAGGCGACTAGTGAGAACTCATCGCGTGATCCCAAGCATGGTGCAAATAGCAAGCCGACCACTAGAAACTCTAGCACCAACAAGGATCAAGGCGAAGAGGTGATATCCCCCAGGAAAAACAAACAACCACCGAAGAGGAAAGACGCTCCTACTCAGATATATAGACCGGTGGCAAAAACTCTGTTGCTCACTGATGGAGGCGCAGGTGCTTCGAATGGTGAGACTGCCGCCCAAAAGGAGGCCTCAATATCGGCTAGCACTAATGGAGAGGGCAGCGACTTCGATCGTGTGCTGAAGAAGAAGAAACCAACCCCAAAAAACTCGGCAGAGACCGCGGCGCGGTCCTGCCCGTCCCAATGAGTGCTTTGAGCTGGAACTGCCGGGGGCTTGGGAACCCCGAGGCAGTTCGAGAGCTTCGCAGCATTGTGAAGCAAGAAGGACCCACTCTACTCTTTGTAATGGAAACAAAGATCAAAGCGAAACGAGTAGAGGTTTTAAAGCACTCCCTAGGTTTCGGAGGATGCTTTGTTGTGGACAGTGCTGGCCTTAGTGGCGGTATTGGTCTATTTTGGTCTCGGGATGTCATTGTGGATCTAAAAAACTACAGTCAAAAACATATTGATGTTGTTGTTAGGAGCAACGATCAAAATAATTCGGTGTGGCGCTTCACAGGTTTTTACGGAGCACCGCGAGCGGAAGATCGCCACCATAGTTGGCGTTTTTTGCGCAATCTGCACCAGTTACCACACTCAGCATGGATGTGTGTTGGTGATTTTAACGAGACCCTGTTTGCGTGTGAGCATTTTAGCAGAGCTGCTCAGTCCGAGAGTAATATGCGAGCATTCAGGGAAGTCGTCGATGAGGTTTCCTTCCAGGATTTGGGTTGGTCCGGCACAGCTTATACTTGGGACAACCACCAGACCGGAGAGGCAAACGTTAAGGCAAGGCTGGATCGAGCCTTTGCAAACGAAGAGTTCAGACAATTATTCCAACATACAAGGGTCAGGCATCTCCCGTCTGTCGAGTCCGATCATTGTTTTGTTGTGACAGAATTTCACAATAGTTTGTCAGAGAGGTCAAAAAACAAGAAAAAAATTCGATATGAGAACGTCTGGCAAACGCATGCTGATTATGATCGTCTAGTGGTTGATACATGGCGAGGCATCCAACATACACCAGGGCTGCGTGGTATAAGCAACGCACTGGGTACACTCCAGGATACCTTAGTGCCATGGGGAGCTAAGGAGTTTGGTTCTCTGACACGGACCGTCCGCAATCTTCAGAAGAAGCTCGAGCGCATCCGGTGTCATTCGATGGGTAGGGGCCCATCAGACGAAGAGAGAAGGATAGTCCAGAAATTGAAAGAGGCACTCCACCAGGAAGAAGTGTGGTTCCGGCAGTGCTCTCGCGTCCCCTGGCTCCGAGAGGGGGATCGCGATACATCATACTTCCAAGTGCAAGCCTCCCAGCGGAAACGCATGAACAAAATACAGGGACTCACGAGGGCTGATGGATCTGTGTGCGCGAACGAAGACGAGGATAAGGCTGAAGTGCAGAGCTTCTATCAAAACCTATACCAGTCACAGGGCTATTCGGACGCGGGAAATCTGTTATCTCATGTTCCTGTCAAAGTGACAGAGGCCATGAATGAGGAGTTAACAAAACCCTACACTCCCGAAGAGGTGAGGACGGCGCTATTTCAAATGGCGCCATCAAAAGCTCCCGGGGTGGATGGCTTCACTGCTGGGTTCTACCAAAGACATTGGGATCTGTTGGACGAGGCAGTGACCCAGGCAGTTATGGACTTCCTAAATGGAGGTGAATTACCATCTGGCTTGAATGATACATCCATCACCCTTATACCAAAGGTTAGACACCCCCAAATGATCTCCCAATATCGCCCCATTGCTCTCTGTTCGGTCTTGTATAAAATAGCGGCCAAGGCAATCACTAACTGAATGAGAGGTATCATGGATAGCGTTATTAGCGAGGAGCAAAGCGCTTTTGTACCTGGCCGACTCATCACTGATAACGTCCTAGTTGCATATGAAAGTGTGCACACAATGAAGAGAAGGAAGAAAGGCAAAAACTATTCTTGTGCGGTCAAGCTCGACATGATGAAGGCATATGACCGTGTCGAGTGGCATTTCCTTGAAGCAATATTGATCAGGCTTGGTTTCAATATTTCTTTTGTAAGGCTTATTTTGAAATGTGTCTCTTCTGTCCGGTTCTCTGTGCGGGTTAATGGCGAGCTCCTGCCTTTTTTCACGCCTTCAAGAGGGTTCCGGCAAGGAGATCCAGTTTCGCCGTTTTTATTTCTTCTCTGTGCAGAAGGACTTTCCTCAATGCTCAAGTATTACAATGGAGGTGTTGTGGATAGAGGCTTAAGGGTGAGCTACAGATCACCTTGGGTAACTCATCTACTTTTTGCTGACAATAGCCTGATCTTCATTAATGCAAGCAACCCAAGTGCTATCGTCTCAATGACATTCTGTCAATCTATGGTGAGGCCTCAGGTCAGTGTGTAAACCGTGAAAAAAGTGCTATCTATTTCAGTTCTAACACACCTGATTCTTTGAGGCAACTTTTGAAGTCAACTCTGAATATCCAAGTTGAAGCTTTCAGCGCAAAGTATCTCGGCCTCCCAACTGCTGTGGGACGCATCACAAGCGGCACTTTTGAACACATCACTGAGAGAGCCCGTGGAAAAATTCAAGGATGCTCAGAAAAACTACTAGCTTGTGCCGGCCGCGAGGTTCTGTTGAAATCGGTCGTCCAGGCTATCCCGACCTATCCAATGAGTACTTTCCTTCTAACAAAGAAAGTCTGCAAGAGCTTAACTTCTCCTATGGCAAAATATTTCTAGAGTAGTTCTCTGGATAAAAAATCTATGCATTGGGTGTCCTGGAACGAGTTGGCCACACCTAAGTGCAAAGAAGGGATGGGGTTCCGCGAACCACATCAGTTTAATCTTGCCATGCTGGGCAAACAGGGTTGGCGATTAATGACAAACCCAACATCGCTGTGTGCTAGAGTGCTCAAGGGCCGCTACTTTCTCGACGGAGATTTTATGCACGCATCTGCTCCAAAGTCGGCCTCGGCCACTTGGAAGGCAATCTTGGCGGGAAGGGAGGCTCTAGGGGCCGGGCTGATCGCTCGAGTGGGAGATGGCAGTACGATCTCAGTATGGAATGACAAATGGATTGCTGGAACGATCTCGATGAAACCAATCTTCAAA